TAAATAAATATATTTAATTACATATGCAATTAAATGAAGTTTATTAGTCATAATAATTAAAACTAAATAAATCTGACTTACACTGAACATTTGAATTGACCAGGTAGTGCTATGATAAATGAGCAAAAAACACATAGCTGTACCAAAAGAACATTATACTGATCTTACATAAGTTACAAATGTATAACTTTCTAGAAACTTCTTCCACAGATGTTGCCAACTTCAAAATAATTGAAAATATCAGAGGCAGCGATCTATGGCACTCCAGCAGCTGGCGGAGGACAAGCGGAGCAGGAACAGCATCCATTATCTAATCCCACAGAACGCAATTAGAGCTGCCATTCTGATTGAGAGTCCACATGACCCTCTGAATGAGAAACACTATCAATGTTTAATTAGCTCCCGTCGAGCATGTATGCATCATATTCATATTAGTTACAGGACTGGAGCCGACCTGAAGTGCTTTAGAGGGACTGGCTGGAGAAACACAGGGAAACAGAATACAGTGCAAAAAAATACCACACATTTACATGGATGGTTACACACATACACACACACACACACACACACAAATGAGAGAGCGGCTGAAGAGCGGCTGTCATCGCCAGTTCATTTAGTGTATTATGATAGCAAGCAAAGCCGGAGATATTACCTTTCCCTCTCTGAGACAGAGAATTAGACAAACAGAGCAATCTGAGATCATCATCACAGACCATGGCTGTTTCCTGCTGTGATTTACCCGTTTATGTTACATCTGAGTAAAGCTAATTAGTGCTCGTGTTGAGCAACAGAATGTAGTGCTAGCTGAGCATGTGTGAGCTCTAGTCATGAATGTGAGAGATGTTTGCCGTCCCATTTTGTCTAAATCACTCACCAGGTTTTTTACCCTCTTCACACCAAATTTGGTAAGAAAATCTATTATTTAATTTAATTTAATTTTATTTTATTATTTTATTATTTTATTTTTATTTTATTTATATATTTTATTTTATTTAATTTCACTTGACTTTATAGTTTTAATTTAATTTAATTTCACTTAATTTCTACATATGTGAGTGCCTGGATGTGGATTTTCTTGTTCTGCAACAGGATCCAGCTACCCTTTTTTATATTTTATTTAAATATCTTATTTAAAATATATGTAAGTTAAATATATTATAAAATATGTATTTATGAAAAATAAATATTATAAAATATTATTTCAATTGATATATTACATATTCTGCAGAGATAATATGTTCTTTTATTTCATAGTCAATTTTTTTTTAAATATTGTTCAGATATCAAACAATTCATTCAAACATTTCTGGAGAGAATAGAAAAATAATAATTATGTTACATGACCATTTTGGTGGAGAAAACTGTTTGTAAATATTAAATTAATAATTAATTAAATATGTTTAATGACGTTTATAATTACATTACAATTACGTATGCAGTTAATTCATTCATTTTATTGCATATTTAGTTACATATTCAGTTATAATTACATTTGCAATTAAATTAATAATTAAATACATTTAATGACATTGAGTTATAATTAAATGTGCAATATAATACATTTTATTAATTATAATAAATAAACAAACTCTAAATATTGTACACTTCTCTTTTCACATTATTTGTCAAATTGGACTGTGTAATAAAAGTTATAATAAAACATATTCTTGATTGGGTAAGCCACGATTGAAGCCTTTGTACAATAGACATTAAAATGTTGGATGCTGCATCAATAGTTTTGGTCGAACAAACTGTTTGCGAATAACTTATACTTTATACCTAATTTATACTTTTTTTTTAAGTATTATTTTTTTTAAACATATAATAAAACAGATATTTTTGACTCAGATTCTGATTGGATAAGACATGTTTTTCATGTAAAATAGCAGATAAACCGGCACATCAATCGAATTATGTATTAACATGTTAATTTGCCAAATTGCTTGGCATTTGTAAACAACTTTTTATTGAACATTTAAATCTTTTATCAAACAAAAATACACACAAACATATATATTTCTTGTCTCTCTGACAAATAATGCTGGTCTTGGATCAGTTTTCACTAACTAACGAATATGATAATGTAGACGGGGAAATTAATCCACAATCTGACGGAGAAGCTGTCAACACAAGCAGCCAAATAATCCATGAATGAATAGATACTGACACACAGGTAATGCTAGAAACTGTGACGCACCTCTCTCCGCTTCCCATTCATTTAATCTCTATACCTCTATCTTAATTCTGCAGGACGTGCTCTATAATGAGATCTGACAACAGGCTGCCATCTTTTCCAGCTGGACGCCACCACACAGGCCAGTAATCAGAAATGACAGCCTTTTCTAAACACACCTGCCACTGAGGTCTTAATGAATATGTACGCAGTCTTGCTCTGTCTTGATAGGGCTGTCGGAGATGTGTGTGGCCACAAGATCACCACAGGAAATGCTCATGGAAATGAGATACAAAGAGCTTTTCATTCATTCCTTTGATTGATTGGATACACATCTTGAAAATATAGTTGGAGGGTCAGGAATATGGTTAAAATATCGTCACACTTTAGTTGTCCCCTTACACCATTTTAGGCCATAATACCAGTTATCACAATCTTTGTTATTATTACAAAAAAAAATGTCATTCATGTTTTTTTTTCATATAATTTTTAACACTACTAATATTTCCACTACTACTACTACTACAATTATTACAATTATTATTATTATTATTATTAATAATAATAATAATAACAATAATAATAATGATACCACCACTATATTTTAAACTACATTTTTATAAGAAACATATCAATCTTTCAAAGCCAAAATGTCAATAGTCATATCCACTGACTAATAAAATAAAATATTATTTTACACACACACACACACACCATAATCATAATATAAAATAATATGAATATATTAATTTATTATTAGTATAATAATAATAATAATAATAACAATAATGTGTATTATTATTATTATTATTTACCACTACTGCTACATTTTTAAAGTTCATTTTCCTCAGAAACTTATGAAAACTTCAAAGCAATTTAGTCATAGCCACTGACTAATAAAATAAAAATAAAATACAATTGCATATCTGTATTTTTTTTTATTGTAAAAATATATCATATCATATAGTTATAATAACATAAAATAAAATTTTTTTAATAAAATATGCCTGTAATAATTTACATTTTCCATGTAGGAATTATGATGTTGTGGGTAAAACTCTAGTTACCATGGTAGAAGAAATGCTGAAGTTGGACAGTATTCTAACCCTTTTTTGTGAGGGTTACGCCTTACTTCCTGACTAATTTCACGGGAAGATGTAGATATACAAGCAAAATGGCTACAGATCCATCTTAACAGTGTTTACTGCTCCAGCGTGATGGAGAACGACGCAGAAGTGGAGGAAAGGCGTTAAGAAACAGCACTTTCTTCAAAGAATTAGAGTTGGCCACAGTACACGGCTGGTGGGCCATTAGTTCGATTAAGCCCATTCCTCAGCGCTGGATGCTGTCCAAATATCTGGAGCCAGCTTTGTTGGCCGCCACTGACTCTGTGTCAGCATTTCTGCTGAAAACCGGCCGTGCTGCGCTCAAACTCTCCTAAACAAGGAAAGCGAGGCTCTATTTTCCATGTTTGATTAGCACTAACATTTATTAGTCACATCTATTATGCACAAAATGCCAGCAAGAACAAAGGAGCAGTCAGGCGACACGCGAGAGAGAGGATGGTAATTAAGTACCCTGCTAAAGTAGATGAGACATCAGCACTTGGAGAACGCCAGACAGTGAGATGAGGAGGGGGGCTTCGCGTATCTGTCTGGCTGTTACTTTGTGGTTAATTGACCGTCTCTTTCCCGCTATCTTTCTCTCTTTTTTGCTCTCTGACATGAAAATCAAGAATAGTGCGCACACACACTCGACCGATGTTTTCTATTCATAGGTCCACTTCAGACCAGACATTTCTCACACTTTCTTCTTTAACAGCACCCAGTGTAACTTGCTGTAACATACTGTCACATTAGTATACTTGAGTGAGTCCTTCATGTTAGATGCTCAAGAAGGACATTTTCTTTCTTTTTTTCCCCCTAAGAAATCCATTTTAATAGCAGTAATAATTGTAAATCATTTTAAGGGCATCCCAATCAGAAAGCAATGCACCTATAATTAAAATAAAATAAAATAAAACATAGATAGCAGTACTGTAGTACATTTTATTTATGAAAATAAGATAAAAATATATTTTAATAATAATAGTAATAATAATTATAATTATATAATAACATCATCTCTTATCATCTAATAAGAGATGATGTTAACACCTCAGAGGACCTCAGATGATGCTAACCCTGGAACAACATATAAAACTACCAAATTTTGCTTAATCGCAATTTTTAATCGCAATCGCAAAGTTTAATCGCAACATACAATCGTTGCAGTTAATAGTGTTAATTAAAATAAAATAAAATAAAACATAGATAGCACTACTGTAGTACATTTTATTTATGAAAATAAGATAAAAAATATATTTTAATAATAATAGTAATAATAATAATTATAATTATATAACATCATCTCTTATCATCTAATAAGAGATGATGTTAACACCTCAGAGGACCTCAGATGATGCTAACCCTGGAACAACATATAAAACTACCAAATTTTGCTTAATCGCAATTTTTAATCGCAATCGCAAAGTTTAATCGCAACATACAATCGTTGCAGTTAATAGTGTTGACCGTCTGTTTGATTACGTGTAATTTGCAACTAACTTCATGATTCTTACTGTACATTTCTGCCATAGTCACCACTAATAACCTACTCCTAAATATAATCTAGAAACTTAAAATGTTCTGTAAAGCTGCTTTGCAATGATTTGCATCGTGAAAAGTGCTATACAAATAAACTTGAATTGAATTGAATGTCAACAGAAACTGATATTGACAAAAACAATCTGCTGTATTACTGTAACTGTAAATATCATGTTCTCTTTTTATGGCTCATTTTGGTGCAGTAGCTTAGCTGATTCTTCACACATAATGCTAAAATCTATAAATCTTCCCTCATACATCATTTCCAGTGTGTGTGTAAGAGCACAGATGTTCTCCAGACTCACTTTTCTGGATGATGTCCTGCATCTTCATCCAGACTCTGAAGGGCAGGTTGCCCAAGTAACGCGGCACATCAATCAAAGCTCCAGAAGGCGTCTGTGGATCCGGCTGTGATGAGATCTGGACTCTGGAAGAACATTCAGGATCAGAACTGCAGTGGCTTTGGATCAGAAGCAGAGAGACCAGAGACACCAGCAGATCACTCACCTTTCCATTGAGACTGGAAACTTCTGCAGAACAAACACTCAATTTATCATCAACAACTCAATCAATCATTCAATAAATCAATCCATGATCTGAAATCAGACCTTCAGAAAGCAGATGTCATTGTCTTTCATCATCTCCTCCGTGTCTTTGATTGTGTGTGAAAGAGCTGAGATGTGTCTGTTGATCTCCTCCAGCTTCTCCTTCATCATCT